AAGCCATACGTACTTACATGTCAATCGTTTGTAAGCAATAAATCTTTATAAATATGTTTGCTAGAATCACTAATTTCAGAAAATCAAATGCAAGAAAAATATATTCAAGATTTAATGGTACTTATATTACTACTTAAAATTTTAATATTGTTCAGTTTTAAATTTAGCAATTTTTTTTTTATCTATTTGGATATATTATAAAATTAAATTCTGAATTATGTAAAAACAAGATTTAAGACTATTTAAAATATTTAAAAAATTTTTTAGATTTTTATATGATATGATATAAATTAAAAATTGAATTTAATTATAAAAATTGCGATAAAAATGTAATAATACTATAATTTAGAACTTTAAAGATCAAAAATCTTTCTCAAAATAATTCTACAATTGACTGTAAAATATTTATAAAGATATATTTTGAATATTTATTTCATTTTCAAATATTAAATTGCTGTTAATTATCTCAAATTTTATCAATTAATTATACACATTAGTATTTAAACATCGAATAATTCAAACTTTGCCATATAAAATTTTTATTTTTAAACTCATATTTTAAAACAGATTTACGATTATTTAATTTTTTAATTTATTATTTAATTATTTAATTATTTAATTTATTAAATTTTTTTGACATTTGAATGATCTATATATTAATTATAGAACATGATCATGATAATTATAGAACATATATCAAGATTGAAAATCTTTTTATTACTCGTTTATCAATTTTTTATGCCAGGTATTCTTGGAGTTTTCGCAAACTCAATTATTCCTCCACGGCCGATAAAATCTTCAATTACTCCAGACAACGAACTATTTTGGTACTTTGATCTCGAGCAAAAGAAACAAAAAAAGGAAACAAAATTTTTAAACAATTCTTTAAAAGTGAATTCTTGATTGAAAGTAATGGTGGCAAAATTTAAAGTATTAAATATTTTAAAATATATGTGTATATATATATAATTATTATGCAGATATCATGTTGAAAAAATTAATTTTGACTTTGTACAATTCTTTCGACTTCAAAGAAAGAAAAAGAAAAAAAACTCAAAAAAACCATCATATAAATAAAATTTAATTTAACGAGATACATTACAATTGAACGTAATGCACAGATATACAATGAAATTTCTATACCAAGTTTATTTTCGTAAAAAAAAGAGAGAGAAAGAAAAAATATATAAAATAAAAAAAAATGATATCGGTGCGAAAATATAATGAGCTCACCCGAATTCCGCCGAATCGAAATCTTCTACTTCGTCGTACCATGATTGAATATGAAAGCGAATCCTTGCGATGGATGACAGGTTTCCCATGTTATCTATCTCGAAAATGTGCACATTCTGCCATACTCCAAATCCTGCAAAAAATATATATTTATGATATAATATTTATATCTAGAATGATTATAATATCTCGAAAATTAATTAAAAATATTTGCAGTGATAACAAATAATATCTAATAGTTAATATAAACATTTATGAAATTAAAGTTATTGTATATGTTAAAAGATCATCATATTTATTCTATATGTTTAAAGATCATTGGTTCTACATATGAAGACAATACTAATGAAGACAAATAACTATAGAAGGTTTTAATACAATTTTAATTGATTTTATGATTTCACGTAATATTTGTTTTAAATTTATTCAATTTAGAATCTAACCTAGAAATCAATTCCACTCAATAAACATAGATTTAATCTAGAATCCAATTGTATTTAACGAAACAAGGGAATCAACTTCGAAATTATAGCCAATGAAATTAATGAACTAACTTAGGAATTGTAAGTAGAACTTTGATCAGAAACTAAGGAATCAATTTAGGAATTATATCCAATAGAATTAAGGACTTAACTTAAGAACTTTACTGATTGAATTGTATCTTACAGATTTAGAGAATTAATTTCCACTGTGATTTTATGTGATTTTCAAATGATTTTGAGAATCAAACTAGGAATTGTATCTTAAAACTTAGAGAACCAATCTACACAAATAGAAAAATTTGTCAGATGTGATTCACATGTGACTGATCTCCCGTTTATTTCAATCTCATACTCCAGATCGTTTTAATAAAAGATATCCTGGTCATTGGATTGGTAAAAGAGAACCAACTGCATGACCCACATGCTCCTCAAGTTTCATTCTTTCAGATTTTTTTTTATATGAAGGTGATTTGACCAACTTATCCGCTAGAAAAAACTTGAATGAGACAAAATCGAGAATATTGAAATGTTAATGAAAAAATAAAAAATTAGAGGTAAATGTCTTTTTTGCAAAATTATTAGTATTATTAATATTATATACATAATTTTATTCTTGATCAATAAGTATTTTTTTTTAAATTCTTTTTTTATTAATAATAAAAAAATAAAATTACATACTTTTTGGTCAGGAATTTCTACAGTTACTAAATATTTTTCCAGTTTCATCATACATTTTTCTATATGAAATTCTTTTCATAATTATTTGTTTATACACATTTTATACATATTTTAAAATATTTTACTTTACACATTGGAATTATTGTAATTTTATCGTATTTTTATTGTTTATTCTTTATTTTATATTGTACTTTATTTTAAATTGATTGAATCAACAAGTATGATTTAATAATAAAAACGTAACTCGCATTTTAAATTAGCAATATTTTTCCTCTATTACTAATATATAT